GATCAAGAGATAAATAAACTTCGCAGAGAGCTAAAAGTGAAAGTGAACCGGCTATTAGAGGCACAAGGTAAATTTTACCTGGTACATCAGGAGATAAAAAATATCTGTTATGGACACACACACACTTTATTCTTAATCTCTATTTTTACTTTTCCATCTTTTATATTGATTTTTATTTATAGATTCATTTTTGTTTTTGCACTTTGATTCTCATTTTCATTTTTATTCTATTTGTTTTTTCATCTTTTGTTCTGTTCCTCACCTCCCCTATATAGATCACCCACTTTTTCACTCTCCTCTATTTTCTTTATATTCTATTTTTGCCTTGCACATCCATCCATTTCCTTTGTACCTATTATTCCTTGTGCTTTTACACTGCTTCACACTTTTACTTTTTAATAGATCTCCTGGTACGTTTAGGGCTTACCACCTATATTTGTTTATATTACATGTAATGTTTCATTTTAAATACTATTTTTTTTTATTTTTTAAATACAGATTTGCTATAAATAAGCTCAGACAGACACCGGCAAAAACTGAACCATTAACACACCTACAGACACATTGACATATGCACAGTATATATATATATATATATATATATATATATATATATATATATATGTATGTGTATGTATGTATGTGTTTTTATGTGTGCCATTGTAGGCCATGTACCTTGGGTGGGTTACAGTGAAGCCTGGTCACAAGGAGCAAATAACTTGTTCACTCCTGCAAGCAAATGGCGATTTTGGGGGGATGAGCATAAATCGGAGATTCTCTGAGACAATGCTCCTTTTGCAGTCCTATTGCAATGCATCGCGGTGACAGATGCCTTCGCTATGCCTCTGTAGGGCCGGAGGCCAAGCAGTCGGCCTGCGGGAAGTGGCTGTGCAACCCCACTCTGGGTTACAAAATATATATATAGTGCAGATGGTCTATAGCAGCAATGGGTGGTAAGAGTGAATAACTCTTACAGTAGCAATGGGTGGTAAGTGTATTTCCATGCATATATTCCCAAGTGTATTATTGTATTAATAGGGTAAGTGGACCACTCCACTACTGTATACATATATTTTTATTCACGATTTTATACTATATATTTTACATGTATATAGCGCTCCACTAGTTGGTGTATATTTTATACCGGTTTTTCTTCCTAGTATTTTAGATTTATTGCGGAAATAAGGGTATTCCACTTTGTGTTGAGCTGCTTTTCTCTGTAGGCACTATAGAGTATCACCCACTATGCCTAAACAGAGAGAGTTGTTTTTTTTTTTTTTTCAAGTTTACAAAAAATATATTTATATTTTTTGTTTAAAGTGAATTACCAAATAATTCCCATTTTAGAGAGCTGCCATTGTGCTGTAGCCACACCGAGATCTTTCTATATAGTAAGTCAGTGATTCAGCCCTGTTACTAGCAATGTGAGTGCACGTTTTACACAGCTTTCACTGAATTTATTTTTCTATATTTTCAGGTAAGCCAGAGTTGAAAGGCTTCGATCTAACCCCACTGAATCCAGATGAGATGAACGCCATTAACAAAGTATTGGGAGAATCTCTTTGACCAGAGGACATGTCTACAGTGAACTTTTGTTTTAAGCATCTCTATGAGATCTGGATGTGGTTTGAGTTCTATTTACAGTGGCCAGATAAGCTGGGAATTAATTCAGTCTCTGAATTATAATTACTGTATGGAGTACATGCTTAGTTAAATCTGTAATATATGTATTTTGATTATAAAAATAATGTTTAAAGATTCTTTAATTGGCGTTCTTAAAATTAAATACTTCCCCTTTAAGAATCTACCATACATGTCAGAAATGTATAAAAATATCTATTTTAAACATGTTTGAAATTAGGCAGTTATACATTACTGATACAACTTTCTCCTAGGTATACAGATGCCATATTTGTTTAGTGACTTCAACTCTGCCCACCCCCTTGCTGATGGCTTACAACTCTTTGAATGGAACAGACGGCCAGGGAATCATGAGAGTTGTAGTTCAACAACATCTGGGGGAGTGTACAGTTTGAGATGCCTAGTTTAGTACAAAGAATGTATAGCAAATAGTATTCCAGAAGTTCTCATACATGGATTTGGAGAAATACCAGACTGTGAAGGATTTCAGTGTATCTGATTCAGCCCAATCTGTGATTATAGCGGTGATGAGGAATCTTTTAAAATGTTTGCTTAATTTCTGCCATTTGGTTTTCAACTCACACCAATTCCATTCCTTTTAAGCATTTTAACATAGGACAGTTCAGACGGTTGTTTATATTTGTACATGAAATGTGGAAATGGATTTCACTCAATGCAGCGTATTGAGAAGTGATGGATGTCACAGTTTCTTAGCAGGTGTGGGTTTCAGGAGCTGTCTGAGCTGTTCTAGTCGATCATTAATGCAGCCTAGGGAAAAAAATATATATAAATAAATTCTTGAGAAGTACAGTATCCAGGATACAAACTACATGGGAGATTCTGGGCAAGCTCTCACCTAGGTGTGTGTTTACAGCAAAAGATCCATTGATGAGAATGGCCTGCAATCCGTCATCCCGGGACACTGGGCCATCGTTCCACATGAGGTCAAAACCCCCAACTCGTTTCTCTTTCCCAGTCAGTCTGAGGGTACAAGGATCAAGACATGCAGAATTTAATATATTGGGGTGAAAGTCCTGAGTCAGCACTCCTCTGTGAGCTTCTCACCTGCCTTCCATGTCCACCACGTGCAACGTGTCATCTAGTAGGTGGCACTTCAGCTCATAGTCGTCCTGGCTGCTGGCTGTCAGAGAAGGGGAGGCATTCACTTCCAAAAGCCACCTGATGGGAGCAATACAATTCACAACAGAAGTTGAATGTGGAAGGAGGTAACACTGTGTTAACTATATCAGCTCTGTGTCAGAGGATTGAGGCACTATGCATATTGGTTCTGTGTAAGGGGGTACAGCACAGTGCCTGTACCGACTCTGAATATGGGGGATACTGCACGGTGCCTGTATCGACTCTGAATATGGGGGTACTGCATGGTGCCTGTATCGACTCTGAATATGGGGGTACTGCACGGTGCCTGTATCGACTCTGAATATGGGGGTACTGCACGGTGCCTGTATCGACTCTGAATATGGGGGTACTGCACGGTGCCTGTATTGACTCTGAAGAAGTGGGTACTGCACAGTGTTTGTAAGGTGGCATTATGGGCTATGCACTGTAGATATGTATCTACATTAGCCATTTTATCTTTCTTATTTTTGCCATTTTTTGGCTGAGCCAAGTGTTTCCATTAAAATATTTTTTGATAATTAGTACACATGCCTCCCCCTCCCACAGATGGGTGGTAAGGAGATTAGATGTTCAGTATATTAAAGTGTGTTGCTCACGGTTTAAGGTCCTCGTCTAACAGGATGTCATAGCCATACAGCTCAAAGCAGTGCTTGTCGTTGATGATGGTCTTCTGAACACTCTGCAGGCTCCTGATGAAGATATTATCCATGTTTTGGAAGAGATTTTCAACTTCCTCTGGACCATGGCGAGCCGTTAAAAACTGGCGCAGTCGTTGGACCATCCACTTACATCCCTGTAAACACACAAAGTGCTAATACCCAAGTCCTGTACACCCTTTCTAGTGTGAGTGGATAGTAAAATCTCACCTTCTCTGGGTCATAGTCTGGTGCAGTTTTCTGGATTGCCACATTGGTTAAATGGATATCTGAGTGTGCTCTAAGAATGACAACTGGAGAACATCAGAGATGTGGACCTACGTCTAACCATGCTGGGTCAGGTTTTATTGAGGTGTATGGGACCTGCCAGCTATTGTCTCGTGCTGCTTTGTCGGTTTTTATTCCATCCAGTTCTCCACTTACCTCTCCATTTGCTATTTAAGCCAGCCCACACCTTTCCTCCATGTGTCCTTGTTTTCTGCGCTTTGTTAAGCAGTTTGTCAGTCCCTCCATCCTTTCATTAACACCATGTCCTCCCTTTATACCAGTCTAAACCTATCACTTCCTCCCTCTAAACCATTCCTCCACCCTCCCTCTCAATGTTCCTTTCCCTTTTCTGTTAGTCACTATCTACCCTCCATTTAGTGTAAACCGGACCTGGATAAAATTATTAAATTATTCAAGATGAATGGTTTTAGCCTTTTGTAAAACTCCAGGTAGGTTATTACCCAACTTATTGGTATACATTTTCTCAATAAAAGCATGAAAAGCTGAGTGAATGTCAGAAATCTAACTTCTGTCTCAGGGGCACTGGGTTATCTTAGCGGAGAGAAGGATACAGTGGTCATCAATGCTGCTAAGTGTGAATCGTGTGTTTGAAAAGCGTGCAAATCCATCACGGTACAGCCAGGCACGGAGGGGAACATACTGCAGGAAAGATAACGTGATGAACACACAAAGCATGAGCTCAGGCAAGGTCTCTAGAAGAAAGCTTACAGACAGAGAAGAGGGGATTGCAAGAAATAGCAAAGTGATGGCTCAATTTTTTTTTATATTCTTTTTCACTTGTAGCGCATAAGGTAACCATGACATATGTTGTAAATATGAACATTAAAGATGGGTATGTGAGTAGGACAAGAGATGTCAAGATAAATTTAGCTCCAAGACAAAATTAAGTAGACTGCAGATAATGCACTTATATAACCAAAAACAGAGGATAGCAGTAAAATAATGCTAAGTTACATAAGGCCTAATTCAGTAGTGAGTGAACAGAGCTAAATTAATATAGACTATATAAACATGCTCAGTTGCCAATACCTAGTGTCATCGTGGAGAAAACTAGTAGTAATTTCAGGATTTATTATTAAGATTTTAAACAGGTTAGGAATTATCCTACAGCTGGCACATGTAAGATTGCAAGAATAGGCCCACGCAGCAAGGAGAGTTATAGCAGAATATGAAATAACTAGCAGATACAACACATCAGTTGTCCAAAGATAGGGTTCTCACATTGTGCACGAGGACTAAAACTGTAGGAAGTAGAGTAAATCAGTCCACACAAGTTCAGCCGTTGCCTGGTCTAGAGGTTGTGGTTACAGGCCTGGAATAGATGTCGATGAGCTTCACCACCTGCACCTCAGCACCCTGTGCATCCACAATATGGCACTCTCTGTCAGTTCTCTGCTTCGGATCTGTAGAAACAGGCTGGGAGTGGCCCTCAGCCTTGCTCCAGAGCTGCGACCTTCTGATTCTTCATGTGGGGGTACGGGGCTGAGCCGCCTTCTTCCGCACTTTCTCTGAGCTGGCACATTACCCGCCATGGCTGCCCGGGGCAAGGTGCGTATTTGTATCTTTGCTCTGACCTCTTCCTTATGCCTCTCCCGTATGCGTCTCCAGAAAGCAGTGCATACCTGGTTGAACTGGGCCAGCAGATCACCAGGAGCCATCTTGGACACTGCGACATCTGTTATAGAGGTATAGCGTGGGACTAAATGCTAATTTGCCGGGACCCAGGTGCATAATGCTGCTCAGAACTGTAGGGGACCGGGATGACCCCCACCGGTCCAGAATGGGGAGTAGCACGACCCAGACTGCGGTTGAGTTTTCTGTGTGGAGGGAGACCAGCCGCGTCTCCCAGCCAAGCACATGTGGCAGGCCGTCAGAAGCCTTGGAGATCGGAAAGTAGTTTCAGGAGTTGCCATAGCTCGCTCCCCTGTACATCAAGCAGCTGCAGCGTCAGATTAGCTGAAATTTCGGGTTTCATGCCAAAAATCTTCCATGCAGTGGAGGAGCTCTCACAATCCACGTCCTGCTTGATGGGCAGTTAGGCTCTGCCCCCCCCCCCCCGACTCACCTTTTTAATACTAATTGAACACCGCAAAAAGCAATCACTAGCTAAAGTACCACAGGTTAGCCATCACTATCACAGATACATGCAGGGAGGCTTATTGATAGAACTCAGACAGACATCAATCAAAGCTACTGTATTGGAGATCAGAGAGAAACACAATCTGATATCCCAGGGAGTTATCAGAAAGACAATCATAGATCTGAGGGCAGAGATCAGAAAAACATGACCAGAGGATCTGTGGCAGATACAGTCAGGAAGTCCAATCAGAGATCAGGCTGACACTTTTTTTTTTTTTACGGAGCATGGGAGTAATTAACCACATAGATATTGATAGAGAATAGAGTGTCCATGAGAGCGAATAAGCCACATGGCACGAGAGGCAGACATGACACCAAGCAAAACTGTGAGATAGAAGACAGACTTTGCACATGACAAGGCTGCCCTAGAGCTGTAACATAAAGAACATGCCATGACACATGTAGATGTCACAGAGTAACTTACACCAAAGGAAACCTGGATGGCCACTGGTCTAACTAGGGTTAAGGTAATGCAGGTAGATTTTCATACTGTGGACAAGACAGCTCATCAGTTACGAGAATAAATTAAATTATATCTCACCGACGTAACCAGGACATAAACTCGCAGGTCAAACTTCCTCCCTGAGAAGAAAGAAAACGTCTGTCTGATACGGTGTCTCTGTGAGAGCAGTATGTATTGCAGACATGGAGAGAGCAACATGCACAAAGAACAAACGACAGAAACGGGAGTGTAATCACAAGAACACATTAAAGAGCTGTCCGTCCTGGCCCCAGAGAAGTATTATACTGGCACATCAAGGGATCAATATAATTCACAGAACATTAAATATATTTATTTAGTTTATTTGCTAAACAGGAAGTTCTGGTTGTCTGACAACCCACCTACAATATGTAAGCCAAAATAACTGAGCTAGGGGAGAAATCTGACTTAACAACAACTGCAGCCAGGTGAATGTGTGGCTTTAATCAATTCTAATGGAATGATGATAACGTGTGAATAAAACAAGCCGGCCCCCGGCCTCTCACCTCCAATTAAATAAGGATTCTCTATATAACGTTGAACCACGTAATTTTCCACTGGAATTTCATCTTTCTGGTCGTCTGTACGTCCACCGTCCTGAGGAAGAGGTGAAGGAGTTAGAAGTTTATCTAAATACGAGGATCTTTCATTCCCAAGAGATGATCATCACCTTTCTCCAATCCATGATATCCTTCAGCTTCCGGAACAGGAATATTCCACGGCCCTGTGATCTGGCCACCTAAGAGACAGGAGTGTTAAAAACAGCACCAATTCTTTAAACTGTGTGTGAATGTTTGTGACCATGTGCTCATACTGTGTGTGAATGTATGTGACCATGTGCTCAAACTGTGTGTGAATGTATGCCATCATTTAATTATTTGAGTGCACACAGACAAGTATGTATGGATTTGATCATATTATGAGTTCATGTATGTGAGCACGTCCTGTGTGTATCTTGCGTTAATCCTCTACCTCCTGTGACCAATTCTTACCGGTTTCATAATCCAGGTAATTCCAGGGTTTCGGCGGAATTCCTCTACAAAGAGGTGATATTCAGCTGGCAGTTCGAATGTTTTGGGGAAGAAGTCACACTGTGCAGCCACCAGTCTGCCAGATTCTCTCTCCAGCTGTTTACGGAATCGCTTCAGATTTTTCACCATGTAATTCTTGCGTGTTAGCTGGTGATCAGACAAAGTATGGCGAGGCATTATTTTATCCCACTGGTATTCATGGCTCATTACAAATAAGTGTCTAATTAAACCAGGGCTGTCCAACGTGGCCCACCAGATATTGCTGAACTACAACTACCATGATTCTTTCAATGAAACAGATAGCCAGGGAATCATGGGAGTTGAAGTTCAGAAACATCTGGAGGGGCCGCAGGTTGGACAGCCCTAAACCATAACCAGGAATTCTGATCTAATTAAGAATCTTGGCTAACAGGTGCAGGTACTTCCTGGTCTAAGCAGAAGGATCCAGGAAATTCAAAGATGAGGTTTTTTTCATGTCAACCCCAGCCTGGAGTTTCCCTTTGATGTTGTTGTAATTTTGGGTTTGGGCTGACTCCCTACTGGATTAATACCACTCCTATTACAGAAATGTTACACCTGTAATCTGTTTAGGGCTTTTCAGGATGTTAAAGATGCCTGAGGCCTTCCACTCTTTATATCAGACCTATTGTTTAGAGAGAAAGTGAATGTTTTCATATTTAATGTTTGATAAGTAGGGCAGCCATGCCTAACCCTGGCACTACAGAGGTGTGTGAACTTCCATGATGCTCAGTCAGTGTAAATGGGAAGCACCAAGTTTAGCCATCACATTCATTTTATTTATCAAATAGCAAACGGGATACCTCGTAGTGGTTACGGAAATGGCAGATGCGCACGTGCTCCTCCAGATAAATGTGATCGAAGTTCTCTCGCAGCCAGCTCACATCACACCAGTAGAAATCCCACTCACCATCCCTGTAAAACAATTGGGAAGACACTTAGTGAGCTCTGCTGTACGCAGAGAGTCAAAATATTAGCAGATCTTCAATGAAGGAGCAATGATTTGGAATAAAGACTAATCCAGGGCTTGCACAAAGATCCAATGTAAAGCAGGCATATTGCAGGAGATGGACAAATTAGGAAAGTTACGGAAAAATACTATTTGGAAAATTAAAGACAATTTCATGGGGGGCGGAGCTTGATGGTGGAACAGAGCGGTCGCATACTAGAGAGGCTCCGAGGCCAAATAACGAAATCCAACGGATTTAGGGGATACTAACCTCAGATCCAAAGATCTAGCTGCCCACAACAACAATGGGAAGAAAAACAAAAAAACTGAAGCCAGATCGACCCAAAACAGGGTCCACCATAGGCGACTTATTCCGGCAGGCAAAAGGCGCGTGCGGACCCAATATGGCTGCCGAGTTCGAGGAATTCTGACTCCTCAGGGGACTTCTACCCAGAGGAAACCATCAACAACTTACCCACTGGCAAGCAGCCACAACCGAACAAGAATCCGGGTGACTCTGAACCGGTCACGGCATATCTGCTGAAAGTCATGCTGGGGGACCTACAGAAGGCCTTACAGACAGACGTCGCACTATTGTGGGCGGACCTCACAGGCCTGGTCGGCCGCATAGATGCAGCAGAACTAACAGCCGCACAACACTCGCATGAACTGGCGGAGCTCAAGCAAGAGATAAGTGCTCTTAAACAACAGCAAGCCAAAACGGAACACCGCTTTGCTGCGCTAGAAGACTCCAGGAGACGCAATAACCTGAAAGTGCGAGGGGTTGCGGAGGAAGTCCCCACAGAAGAACTCCAACACTTCGCGAGGAGACTCGTGGGAAACCTAATACCCACCAAACAGGTCAAGTACAACGGCATAGAGGCGGCCTTCCGGATCCCTAAACCCCGGAGAGCGCCAGAAGCAGCACCCCGAGACCTCGTGGTGAGATTTCGGAGCACAGCGGACAAAATGGCGCTCCTCGCAGCCTTAAAAGGCTCAGCCACCTATAGATTTGAAAACATGGACTTGTCCTTTTACACCGACCTGTCGGGAGCAACATTACAATGGCGTAAAACCCTCCAACCCTTCACCGCGCTGCTCCGGACGCACCAAATTACATACCGCTGGCGTCCACAGCACGCACTACAGGTACTACATAAGAACATCGTCCACCTCGTCTCAGACCTCCAGAGCGCAAAGGCACTCCTGCCTGCACTGGGACTGCCA